TGGAAACAAAGAATCACTTCCACTCTTTTCTCTTAGTCAGAGTCATAAAAAAGTGGCCCAGATTCCAATAGAGAGGACATAGGTCACACCTTTCAGGAGGATGAGGCTCAAATAAATTGCAGCCATCCTTAATCTCCACCGTGGGTAAATTTCAAAGTTGTGGATGTAGCCTTCTGAATTCTTCAACATAATTTCCCCTTTGCTCGCCATTCATAAATAACTTCTGTCAATATTTTCATGTGTATCTTACCAAGATACATATTTTTGTTCAATGCATAGTATTTACAAAAAAGAGTCATATTATGCATTCTGTTTTACAGATTTTCTAAATATTTTGTGAGAATTATTTCCTATCAGACATTTTTCTATGTTGTTTGAATAGCTATGCATTAATTCTTAATAGAGAATAATCTCTATTTTTGGACAATCTTCTAAACATTAATATAAACAATACTGTGATAAATATCCTTGATGCTTAATATTTGTGAACTCCTACAAATATTGCTTTATATATATATATCCCTTAAAGTGGTACAACTGGGTTAAAGAGTATGTACATTTTTAAGGACTTTTGTAATTGCCAGATTGCCTTTGAGAAATGTTGTGTTGATCTATACACACACTAACACTTACGTAACAAAAATGATTGTCTTTGGCTTATGTGGGCAATCTGTCTCCCTTGCACCCTAGTCTTTCTGCTAGTCTAGTGAATTCTCATGTTCCTCATGTTCAGGAAGCCACAGAAATCTCAATATGAAACAACTATTCTAATACAGCATCTGTCTGTCCATGAATTTTCTCATACGCATCTCTCTCAAAACCCCAACTAAAATAAACCTGATTGCAGACAATGGATGTTGTACAAATATTTACATAAATTTTATGTGCATTGTTGTGCTTCATTAACCTTTTGTTCAAAAGCCCTCATTAGCTTGCAGGATCACTCAGACCGAAAGCTTAAGGTCTTACAAGGACTTCAAAGTAGTTTTAAATGATCTGTCTCCTCGCTACCTATCTGAGCTTATTTCCTGTTAATACTTTCCTCATTTATTCTGCTTCAGTAACACCAGCTGCCTAACTATTCCTGAAATACTCTAGGAATAAGCTTACCTCAGGACCTTTGCAGCTGTGGTTCCTTTCTCATGGGTTCTTTGTCCTTAGATGTCACGTGACATCTGTCCTCACTTGTTTCAGGTCTTTACTTAAATGTTGCCTTCTCAGGGAGGCCTTTCTGGCCCCCCAGTCAAAAATTGCAATTTTTCCCCATCACATCTCATTCCCTGTCTATGCTTTTTAAAATTTTTCTTAGTGCTCATCACTCTTTAACATGCCATATGGTTTATTTATGTTTTTTATTGTTTGTCTCTCCAACTAGAATGTGAGCTCCTTGACCATAGGAATTGTGGTCACTTTTGTTTACTATTCTATCCCCAGTTCTAATGAGAGCACCTATCCTGTAATAGCTGCTCAATAAATATTTGCTAATAAGAGATATGTCCCACCAGTACCTCCATTTGTGAATATGAGAGACTGGGCTCACTCATTGTTGCAAGGATTTTTCTTCCTCTGAGACACAGTCTGGGTCAGCCCTATGTATTCTCCCTATGCATTCTCCCTAAGAACCTCACAACTGGTACCCTTGTCTATTTCATTCTTCTCCTGTCTGTAAGAACTATGCAAACCAGTGCAAGTGGTTTAAATTTTCTAGGTTAGTCGTTAGTAGTTTTCATTTGTAAAAAGAATATTCCCTTTTCTCCCTATCTCCCTATGTAGTTGGATTAAATGCAATAATATAAACAAAAAGCACTTAGCATAGTACACAGCATAATTCATATTTGAAAAAAATGTATATTCATTTTCATTCCTTTCTTCCTTTAGAGTTAGTAGTTTTAAGGAAAATTCCTTTAGGTAACAGTTCACTAATGCAATGAGGTAGAGAGGCAGTAAAGTGAAGCGTCTGCATTCGCCGTTAATGCAGTTATGAATATAAATGTACCAAAATAACGCATTCTTCACAAGCTTCAGTTCCCTGCCATCTTCTTCCTGGGTGTCTCTTTCTAAGATTAGGTATCTGTGGAAAGATTTCTCCAAATGAAGCATCCAATTCTGTTCTTCAGAGAGAATGTTCTAGTTTGCAGCTATTTCCCGGTCACAGGGTGACATCCGGATTTCCCTTCTCCCTAGATAACTGCTAGCCGGTTAATTATAGCTTGGGCAGTGTGAAGCAGATGATTTTAGAATATATTTGCAGTGGGGCTTTGGGAATCCTTAGAAGTTTGGTTAAGGCCGGCAGTATGCCTGATGGCTTGTCCCAGACAGAAACCTGTTCTGCACATGGACCAGCCTGAGAGCCGGGGTGGTTGTGATCTGTGTGCGTGAACGTGTGAGCACACGGATGTGTGAGCACACGGGCGTGCGCTTGCCGTGCAGGTGGATCAGTACATTCTTTGGGTCTCAGGATGTTCAGAGATATAAAGAGAGAAAACCAAAGTTCTCATCCCACTTTTATCCTAACTATGGCTCCTTGTGTGGAGCCAAGGAACTGTCATTTCGCCTGAGTGTATCTTTTACATGTCACTACCAACAGTTCTTCCAAACCCCCAAATGAATATCCAGCTAAAGTCAGCGAGATACCCCAATGACTTACATTGTCTACTTGTCTACTACTGGATAATCCTTTTTATTGCCATTAAAATTCAGTCAAAGTAATCATGTAGAAGAATGTGCTGTTCATATGTCTTAGAATCATTAATTATAACAAAACAGCTGAGGGTTCAAGATGGTATCTATGTAATCACTATACAAAGATGCAGGCGGTACAAACTGACCACGTCACTAACTCATTCCTGTGTCTTCGTTTAAGACGAGGTTTTATTCTCGCTTCCTCTTCCCATATCTCCTTTCTCCCAATGTTGGGGGAAGAAGAACAGAGTGCCCGCATCTTTCCTAAGAATCCACAGGGACATGAGATGCAGCAGAGGGCAGTCAGAGCTTTGTTGTGGTGGTTTTGTGTTTGTTTCTCTTTCAGACAGCAGGTCCTGAAGCCATCTTCAGGAAGGTTCGTTTGTAGGTTCTAGAGCCATCTGTTGACACGTTGCTGAGAGGCTTTATGGTGTTAAGAAATGTAGAGAGTTTGAACTTGAAACGATTGCAGTGCCTCTGGTGAGAAACTAAACCTGATGAGACACACTTTGAACATGGAAGATGTGCTTTAGCAGTTGCTTCCCCTGCCCAGGGTGTGAGGGGGAACAGAAGCGTCATAAGGGGGACATCTCCCTGTGTCCTGTGTCCTAGTAGCTTCTGTGACTGCAGTCACCTTGCTCTGTCAGCACACCTTCCTTTAAGCCCCTCACTCAAACTCAACAGGGGGTTGCTTCCTGGTACCACACTGCTCTTGTCTCTGTCAGTTTGGAGGACCGCTGAGTCATTACTGAGACATTTTTAAAAAGGCAAAGGGAAAAATGTTGCTAACCTTTCCAAATATGGGGGTTTCCTTCCCTGCTTTGCTTGTGCTGTAGGGAGAGAAGACAGGGGGATTGCGTGACTGATGGAATGCCATTTTGTATAATACCTGTCCATTTTTTGTCATGGTATGAACACATTTGAAACATTTGTCATGGTATGAAGCCATTTGAAAGTTCTTTGTTAAACATCGAAATGTCTGCTCTGGTGACTTGCTGCTTCTCCTCAGCGGTGACCATAGGGCTTAGCATCTTAAGCACTGGACTGTGACTTAGGAACTGTGTTTTAATGTTCCAGAGTCCATCCCCTGTTACTGATGCCAGGTGAGCCACCATCCATAAAATGTGAATCATAAACCAAACTACTCTGGAAAGTAAAGAACAGTAATAAATTCTTCCCACCATTCTAAAGTGATATAAATGTACGATAAGTTATGATAGAAGCCATAGTAGAAAGAATACATTCTGAGTCCTTAGGAAGATAGATTTTTAAAAAATATTTTGGATTACTTTGGATCCAGTGGTTTGGCAGTTAATCCCTTGGGTATATGTACTGTATGTTTGTGTGTATAATATTAAGCTACTAGTTCCAAAACTTTTCTCAGTCAGTACCTCTTACCCTGCTCCTCCACACATGCAAATCTCATATTTAAAAGATTCTGCTAACCCCAAACTTGTGTTCACCCATAATAACAAATGCATTTGTCCATAAAAATAATCACTTTCAGCGCGTACAGCTATCATATAATAGCTGCTATTGTTCTGACTATTAACAATTTGAGACAGAGAAAATGATTTCATCATGTTTGCTCATCCATGCAGGTTAATTGTGGCAAAGTCTCTGGTCTTGATGAAATAATCAGCATAGCATAAATGTCCTTCTTTCCTTCCTTCCTTCTTCCCTTCCTGCCTGCCTGCTTGCCCTGTCTGCCTGCCTTCTAGGAGCCCAGGGACAACAGATTGAGAGCAATTTGATAGAGCATTGTTAAGTTCAGCTGTAAATGCAAGCTCTCTAGGCAGCTGTAGTTCTTTCAAAATTAGAGTTGATATTGTTCATATATTCCCCAAAATCTTTGGGTTGCTTATTCCAGAGATTAAGCCATAAATAACAGAAATATCTTGCACGTAGCTATTATTTACCATGATAAAAATCTTTAGGTGAATTAAGAGAGAGCATCTTTTCTAAAGATCTTTGAGTTTTTATCATGTGTTGTAAAATTCTCACAGCCACATAATTCTATATTTTTCATGCCTGTTGATTCATAACCAAGAACATTAGAGACACCTCTCTTTTCTTTAGAAGAAGCGTTACTCTATACATTATTCTCAATTTGTGTCCTTAGATTTTAAGACTGTTGGATCTGGTATCGATTGCTGGATCTTTTTTTCATTTTTAAAGAATACATTTCCACTCCTCATCTATTCCTCATGCAGTTAAAGTCTATGACAAACTTGGGGGTAGGGGGCAGGGCATACATCGAAGAAACATCATGATTTCGAGTTTAAGTATTAAATGATAAATAATATTTATTTCTCCAGAGACTGGATCCCCAATTACAGCATCATGCCTTGGATTAGGTAATTCTAAAACACCTCCTCCAGGACAAGCAGGAAAAAGTGTTCCAGGATACAATGGTGAGAAATGACCCTGATTATTTGGAATATGTAAGGTTAATAAATTTGGTATTTATCCATGTCTAATGCCAGTCAAACTGCACAGTAGGTGCTTAAAAGTATTTGACTGAATGAATACTTCGTACTATAAATAAATGCCTTAATTTTGCTATTAGTCAATTGGATCAAAAATAAGATTGTCGACTTCCAAGGACATGTTCTAAATGGCTGTCATAACCAGGAAAATAGTATTTATAGGGTACATTAAGGATATGGCTGTGAAATTAATATGTATGGAATCCTTGCTAGGTGCAGAGTACTTTGCATACATCATTTCATTTAATGATGAATTATATTTAATTCAGAGGTATCATTACCATTCTAAAGATGAGTTAACTGGTGCCCGGAGAGATTGAATCACTTTCTTGAGGTAATACGGCTGATTAGCGCCTAGAGACGTTTTATTTTGTTTGTTTGTGTGTTTTTGCTACAAAAGTTGCAGTGTTTCCCATTATATATATGCCACTGTTTAATTTAGGAGTGATGATAAGGCTTCTGAACCTTGTTGGCTAAAGATAAGTATAAAAAGTAAAGATTCAAAATAAATAAAGATTCTAAATAGAAAAATCACTTCATCCATGCTGGTGGTATGTGACGATGGGATATAATATATTTTAAGTATTTGCTCTAGATTGTTGGTAGCGGTTATAATAGTTCAGTAATTTTCCATGGGCTCCACTTGCTAGTTGCATAACATACAAGTCACCTAGCTTTTCAGAAATTCGATTTCCTTATTTCTAAATGGGAATAATAATTCCACATGCTTCATAGGGTCATGATGTAACACAATGAAGCATTAACAGAAGCACTTGCCAGTAACCAGACTGAACTAAATCTCAGCTAGTCGTGTGGTGCTATTTCAGGGAATATGAAGAACAGAAGTTATTTTATATGCATAAGGTCACACAATTTAGCTTAATAGATTTATGAGGAAAACCCATCTTTGGGAGACAGAAAACGGTTCCTACATATAGTTTCTATTTGCATGTAAATTATAAAATATAGAGAATATATAAAATATATATCCTCTGCCTCTCTGACATAAAAATACTGTCTTTTCTTTCTAGGACAATGATTAGTTAAGGAAAGGTGGATCATTTGACTTAGCCTAGCAGATGTATTTGTAAAAAGAAACTTTAGATTTTTTTTTTTTTAGGGCAGAAATAGATATTCTGTGAAGTCAGTGACTTTTCCAAGCATGGGGAGGTGAACCCAGCTCTAGTGAAATCCTCACTTTGAACGGTTCTGTCATCCTTGCTCCTTTTATTGGAAAAATTGCTTTGTGTTGAGCCATTTTTAGGGGCTGATGTTTGTGGGAGATGTTAAATGCATTTCCCTTTCAGCATTTTCATATTGAGCTATAAGAAAGAGTTAAGCTTTGATGCCTCATGAAATTTCAGCACAGAAATTTCTCGTTGTCTGAAAGCCCTTGGCTGACAGACAGTATATAGGTTAAACGTTAGAACTAAAGTATCTATAACCAAGGAAGTAGTGACTTTATGACTCATGATTTTTATGTTTTGTGGTTAGTCAGAGATTCAGAAACATAATGTAGTATTCAGTAGTATAATAAAAAAGCGGTATCCACTTGGGAAAGGAAAGAAAACCATTTTTGTGTGTGTGAAAAATACTCAATGTGATGTAACAGTTTCACATTGATTGAGTACCTTACACAAGCTTGTCACTTTTTTCTTCAGGTGATTCTTTTTTTTTTTTTTTAAAGATTTTATTTATTTATTTGAGAGAGAGAATGAGAAAAACAGAGAGCACATGAGAGGGGGGAGGGTCAGAGGGAGAAGCAGGCTCCCTGCCGAACAGGGAGCCCAATGAGGGACTCGATCCTGGGACTCCAGGATCATGACCTGAGCCGAAGGCAGTCGCTTAACCAACTGAGCCACCCAGGCGCCCTCAGGTGATTCTTATAACAACACTGAGAAAAGAATCGCTCCCACTTTTTATCTAGAGAAATTGAGGGCGTAATACTTGTACAGGGGAGCAGAGTAAATTGGCCACTGTTCTGAGATTTGGGGAAGCAAACATTAGTGAGGCATGACCTCCAATCTTAATGACCTTCTAGTCTTGTGAGAGGAATATTTATACCACTACTAATTGTCAGAATAGAACTTTAAAACAAAGTGCTCTGGGAACACAAAGAAAGGAACGATTAATTTTTTCTGGGGACAGTGTCCTTCTTTTCTCATAGCCTCGCTCAGTAGAACAACCTGGATGGATGAAGCCACATAAAGGATCAATGAGAGCTTAAAACATGATGATATATCCTCATTTCCAGCTTGCACTAGGGGTTACTGAATGTGGATTCAAGCTTCGACCTCCTAAAATCTTTCAGGATTTTAACAGTGTATTTTAACAGAAAGCACTGGGATAATATTTGGGAATTAAATGGATCTTGAAGGCTCAGAAGTGGATATTAAGCTTTAAATCAGAAGAAGGGGTTTCCCAGGCTTAAATACCTTATTTTTATTGCTTGAAATATTTTTTGGTATATTTTAGAACTTGATTTGTTTCCTTTAATTTTTGAAAAGCTGCATATATTTTTAATGTTTTTGGTAGACTAGAAGGCAATGTTGAAGTGGCTATAAACATGGGTTATGAAATTAACAGCATGTTTGAAATGCAATGTCTTTACTTAAGGGGGGTTCTGAGGGAAAATTCATGATCTTGTTAAGAATCAAAGCATGTGCTCTTTTAATTTTTTGTGAGACATGTTAGCATAGTTATATGTTCACGGTCTCATAGAAATTAAAAGATGCCTGTGAAGCTACAATTTTGGGGGTTGGATATAGGAAACATGGAAAAGTTTAAGCTTTAAGGGTATGCATTTTTATTCAAATTTATATTATTTGTTTGTTTATATTTTACTTTGCAGTTATGATTTTGGATGACAACATGCAAAAACTGAAGGCTCGATGTTTAGGAAATATTGTGGTAAAGTAAGAAAGATTTGCAATGCTACTATTTAAGAGAGCAAGAATTGATATATAATATTAAGAAAAAAATGGAGTGTTTGTGATGATAGTCCTAGGGAGGGGGTTACAAAATAAGCTCGTGCATTGTTTGAGGATACACAGTGCCAACTCTTGTCATTAAACATGGAGGCCCCATTAAGGAGGGCATGTGATCTGATGAGCACTGGATGTTATGCAACTAATGAATCACTGAACACTACATCAAAAACTAATGATGTACTATATGTTGGCTAATTGAATTTAAATTTTAAAAATAAATAAACATGGAAGCCCCCTAAAGTAGAACAAATTTAGATATGATTTTTTTTTAAAGATAAATCTTCCATTTTAAATAATTTTTTGATGATACAAGTAATGTGTAGGTGATCAATTTAACTTAAATGCCAGAAATATAAGGAAGTCTATAAAGATTCTATACTCCCACCCTTTAGCAATACAACATTAATTTTATAGTATATAGGACTTTTTCCTTTTGGCAAGCATTTTAGATTTCTGAAACAATTCAGCTTATTCTGTATTGCTGTTTTTCCTTAAACTTGTCTCACGAGCATTGTTCACTTTAACTCTGCCTCTAAAAATGTTTGTCCCATCCTAGAACTCTTAGTCTTTTTCGAATATTTATGATTATAAATAATGCTGTATTGAACATCTTTCTTTGTGTTGTCTTTTCTTCTTTTCTGATAATCACTATAGTGTTGCATAATTTCTGAAAGTGTGATTACTAGGTCAAATAGTAGCATAATATAAAATGCCTGACTCAGCAAGTACAATTCCTTGCTAATGTTTTTCAACCTTGTTCATTTGTAAGCAAAAGTGTCAAAATTTGAAGGGAAATACTAAAATTTGCTTTGATTAAATCCATACTTTAAAATTGTTATGCTAGTGGAAGCTGAAATGGAAGTTGATTAAGTTGGGGGGGAAATAGGATGTGACATTTTAATAATTGATACAGGTCACTTTAGTGCCTCTGATTAGCATGACATTGATATGATATGGTTTAGTAGTAGAATTTGGCAGAAGGAGCTGCTATAAATAAAGAACATTGTATGTCAGGCCTGAAAAAAGCTTTGTTTTCCCATTTATTTAAAAAAATTCTTGGAAAAAAATTGTAAAAATAAAAGAATTCTTGGGGCTCCTGGGTAGCTCAGTCGGTTGAGCATCTGACTCTTGGTCTCAGCTCAGGTCTTGATCTCAGGCTTGTGAGTTCAAGCCCCTCATTGGGCTCCAAGCTGGGTGTGGAGCTTCCTTAAAAAATAAAATAAAATGAAATAATAAAAGAAAAGAATTCTTATGACTTGGCATCCTGTCTCAGGTCAGAGACCTAACCTGAGGTACGAAATTGTCTCAGGTTAGGTCTCTGAACTGCAGGATACCAAACACATACCCTCACCAGTCCCTAAACCTAACCCGAACCCAAACCTGAACCCTAGATCTGAGGGGAAAAAAAAAGGAAAATGTGGTATATTTATACGATGGACTATACTCAGCAATAAAAAAGTACGAGATCTTGGCACTTACAACAACAGGGATGGAGCTAGAAAAAATTATCTCAGGTTAATAAAACATTTAAAATTCTGTGAAAATTAAATGAAAAACAGTAACTTAAAAAAGAATGTATTTCTTCAGGTCAAAATACTTTAACGTTACAAAAAGCTAACAGAGCAGATACACTTTATGATACAATTCTCAGATTCTCATGCTATCCCTAAACATAAAAGCACTATATTGCTTTTTTCAAGTTTAAATTTTAAGACATCTTGTTGGCAAGATGGAAAAATTAAATACTGAATATACCATTTATATTCATATTATTCTGAGCCAGAATGCATGTTAACATAGAGCTGGTTGAAATCTGACCTCTTGGGGGAAAATGGTAGGGATGGGGGGATGGCGTTCTAAGAAATTAGTAATCTGAACAAGATTGTTAGTGGTTGTTTAGCTTACTTAGGGAAGCACATGGTTTTTGAGAGCCTTTAAAAGCACTCTAGCAGCATACATTTTTTATATAACCTCCTAACTATAAGTGAGTCTATCTATTTCATAAAGCAACTCATGTACGATCCTAGGGGTAGTGTTTGATCTAGCAGTTTTATACCCTTCATGTGCTCTATCATTCTAATTATTGGTGGCTTTGCCCTACTTCCATTAAAAAATAATAAAATATAGCAACAGCCCACATAAACTATATTTTTTCTTGAAGCCATTGATGTGACTTCTAGTACTTAAGAGTAACATAACTATTGCCTTAAAGCATTTTATTTAAATTGTCACCAGTTCAGAATTATTTCCTTCCCTCTGCATTCCTGAACAGGGAATTTTATTGTAATGATCTGGGATTCTGAAATTTCTATGTGAATTATTTGAAGGTATAATATGTTATGACATGCAGTGGAGTCTGATTCTTTCCTTGAGCTAATAGTGAAACTAGATGTTTGAAAATGTTATATATATTATATATTCAAAAGGTAAAGTAGAAAAAACAGGAAAAAAATGTTCCCACTAAGATCTCCTCTTTAAAAAAAAATAGTTCTTGAAACCTTATTTTAGGATCTCGTTTTTATCTGGGAGATCAAGGATTTCCTTTGGAAACCCACTTCTCCAGTGGCCTTTCCACCCTAACCCATCAACGTCAAAATTATTTGTGCATCTCAGCGGCAGTATGCGAAGGATGTTTTCACGTTTAACATCTATCCATAAGACCCATAGCTGTTCTTTGTACCTTGAGGGGATACATCATTCATCCAGAATGTGAAATGGTCAATGAATGCTTTTTAAGAGCTCATAATAAATATGTTTAATTGAATTAAGGGGAAGAAAAAAGCACAGCTTTTTGAGATAAGATTATTCTGGTTTTAAAAAAAAATAGTATGTAATTTGAGAGATAATAATTTTTTTCCCCGCAGACCACATTCTAAAAAAGGTCTGTGATCTGAAAGCAGGCTTCTTTCTAGAGATTGGCCACATGGGTCCCCCCAAAAAACCTTGGTGGACTGTAAAAGGGATTATATCAGATATACAAAATATCTGAGACTCTAAATTTTAAGAAATTTGAAAAAGTCTTAAAATTCAAATTTGAAAAAACTTACAACAAAAGTTAATACATATTTAATTAAATATCTTTGAAATTTAACATCGTAACAACTTCATGGTCAATTTAGTCTTTTTTTTTAAGATTTTATTATTTATTTGACAGAGAGAGACACAGCGAGAGAGGGAACACAAGCAGGGGGAGTGGGAGAGGGAGAAGCAGGCTTCCTGCGGAGCAGGGAGCCTGATGTGGGGCTCGATCCCAGGACCCCGGGAGCATGACCTGAGCCGAAGGCAGACGCTTAATGACTGAGCCACCCAGGCGCTCCGTCAATTTAGTCTTCATAAATTTTTCAGTTCATTTGCAAACAACGTTTAGGTCTTATTTTCTCATTCTGCACAGTTTCTGAATATATACAGTGACTGCTGAGAAATAAGAGCCAATCGTAAACTAAATGTGTGGCTTCTTGCCAAATAATTTTAAAAGCAAAATTATAACTTTTCTTCCAGAAAAATTCTAGTTTCTATGGTGTATTGTTATGTTTTATTATTTGTGCACACATATGGGGTAAGGCCACTGGTAATAAGAATAATTAGGGCCCATGGAGGACTTGAAACTGAGATGGCATCAAAAGCCACCCCTGAGAGTGACCCCTGGCCAGAGATAGATGTCCACTCTCAATTATTCATATCCATGCTTTTCTTTATTATCTTGTATGGTAACTAAGTAGGAGCAGTTTGAAAGAGCAGTATTCCCTAATGTTATTTATGTTCACTAATCGTACTTGGAGTATAATTACAAGAATATGGGGAAAGTCGGCATGGAATATTTGAAATGTATGGGGCTTAAACTATATTAAAGTAAGTCAGTAAAAAAATGACTCATTGTTTTAACCCCAAATTTGTTTGCTTTTGTAAGTACTGCTATAGCTGCTTCTTTCACTATAAAATCTGTTATGAATAGGATAAATAATAACATTGGAAACCATCTTTCTCTGACAGTTTCTTTAAAATCTGAAGCTATAATCATATTTCCACCGTTTTCGAGATATTAAATGTAATGATTCATTTTATCATATTAAGACGATTCACCTAAAATGAGAAATAGTGGTATGTGGAAATGTTGAACAGAAAACTCTAGCTCTGCTTCATTTTTTCCACTTCTTTGTTAATGCTTTTTAGAAATCACTGTTTTGCTCTCCTGGGGATCCCTTCACTGGAACGGAGACATTTAAGTGATTCCTAAACTACCATAGACCCTAAGATGTAATAAACATGAATCCTACAGCTTTTGTAGATTCTCTGCATTCATAGGATTAGCCTTTCTAGTAGAAGAGAAACTACGCATCTTTGTGGATGTTAGCAAAATCCTTTGATTTTGAAACCTACTCCAGGCAGTTAATTTAGTGGGAAAGTTATAGTGTCTGAATTGCTATGAATGCAGAATGTTCATGAATTGTGGGAGGTGTCCTGCAATTGCATCCAGAGCTCTAAAGTGCAGAAGTAAAACGGCCAGTAATTTCCAAGCAACACAGAGCAGGGCATGAAAGAACATTTTAGCTGCAATTGCCTTCCTCAGTACCACACTGCTCACTGTTATTAAAGCCATAGGTCTCTGGCTACTGTCACAAGTAGGCAATAGTTGATCAAAACCAACTTGTACTGACTAATAAATCTTTCCACTGTATTCAGTTTTTTAAAAAAAGAAAAAAATAATAAGTCCTCTTTTATGGGCCTGCATTTTTCTTGGACCAGATCCAGTTGTTGTTACTGGAAGTGGGGCTTGTCTGACTCTTGCTGTGTGCCGGGGGGGTGGAGGTGGAGGGGTGGGGGGGTTGGGGTGCCCTGCAGGCAGTGGCAGGGTAGGAGGGAGCTATAGGGCAGGGTCCTGGTGGCTTCTACTCTGGTGCCTGCCAATTTCTCAGCCTCCAGATATTGAACTCCTGTCCCCTAAAGGTGTTTGTTCACATCTTTATAGCTTCGCAGGAGTGATTTAGTCACTTTGCTGCTGTTTTGGGAAAGGGTCAGGACAGCTTTCTTTTCTTCATTGTATCCTTTGAGTAAAACTAAGGATGACACATAATTGTAATCATGTTCCTTTCTAACTATCATACGCAGATTTTAGTATGATCTTTTATTAGCCTTACGACATCACTGGGAGGTGGACAGTGGGACAGATATTATCCTCATTTTAGGCATGGGTATCTAAACATCTTTCGTAGTGACACAGCTAGAGATCACATTTATAACCTAGTCTTTTGTCTGTCTAGAGAGAAAGAAATTATGGCCTAATCAGTCCCTTTGTGGGGAGACAAAAAGTAGCCTTATATGAAAAATCTCAAGTAAAGCCTACAGACTCCATAGGAAATGCTGGGAGGGCAAAGTTGGGATCTAATCCCACAGTTCTCTAGGGAACAGGAGTTATAGCTTCAATTTACTTCTGTTACCATGGGGATTCCTAATGGAACAGTAAATACAGACCATCCTGTATCTGGGAATGGAGACATAGAAGAATTTCACATTCCAGAGTGATCCGGAATGTCCTCTTCTACAGTGATGAGCATTCCCTTCTTATCTGTTTAAGGATTTCTCAGCACTCCCATGCTTCCCCATCAGCGGGGTTGTGTGCGCACGCGCGCACACACACACACACACACACACACGGGATCACTTCTGTTATTTCTGTTTCCCCTTAAGATTGGTCTCTGAGGAAAGACATTCTCCAAGGGTAACTCTTCATTCACAGTTGGACAGGTTGCAACAAAACTTCCCTTTCACTCTGCTTGAAAGAGATGGGGAAGGTATCACAGAATGGTAACATTTTATCTTGGATTTGAAGGAGGAGTACAGACGCTAACCAGCCCATGTCTCAGTATTTTCAAGTCTTCCCCTCCTTCTGCCAATCTAATGTATCTTCATGTTATTATAACTACAGAAAACAGTTTTCATTTTCTGTAACATCTCTGTGAGGTAGACAGTAGGATAGATATTATCCCCGGGGCATCCATTTTACCAGAAGGAATAGGATAATTATTAGGATATTCAACAAGAAAAATGTTAATTTGGAATTCTGTTTAAAAAAAAAATCTGCTCCAGCTTATATACACCTAACTTCTCTCTGGAGCTTATTGCTGCTCCTGTTTTATTTCATACTCCCAATTCTGGAAGCCTCTCTTCCTGCTTTTCTTTAGGACCATTATATGGCATCTTTCAAGGTTCCTTTTTTAGACTCTCTTTCTAATATTGAAATTGCAACATCTGAATTTTTAAAATGTATCAGACTTTATTAGTGAAGAACACATAGCATTCCCTCATGTTATCCTACTAAGTACTAATTGCAATCTCCTATCTTGCTCTCCAGCCCGTTCCTCAATTAGATTTGGGGATATTGAAGTAGTTTTCTGGGACATCTCAAAAATGATCAGGAGGCACAGATGCCATTTCCAGCAGATCCACCCCTTGGCTTTTAGTTATGGGCTTAGTTTCAGGGATAAAACTTTCCCTTCCAAGAGCTCCTGCCGGTACAGAGTCTAAGGACCCGCTATAAAACTTGCCTGACACACATCTTTATGTTATTTCATTAACTTAATGGAATAGACATCATTCATGACAATCTTTCTCCTTATCTATATTATAAAAATACTAAGTTTCTTATAGTACCATTATGCCAGGATCTTCATGTGTCTGAGACCGGAATTTAAATCTTTGTATCATTAATGTCTAACACAGTGACTGAGGAATACCAAGCATCCAACAAATATTGATTGAAGAAAATAAATACATGAGTTAGTGCACACATGCATGTATGCATACATGAATGAATGAATAAAAACATAATTCCTCTGGTATTTTCTTCTCTAACTTTCATATCTTCATTGCCCCCTCACTGGCTGCTTCTGTTCACATCGTCCCCATCTTAAATCAGCCTGCTTCTCTTCCTTAAATCAATGACATATCTTTTCTTCCAGTCATCCACAAACTTTTAAAAAGTGTAGTCTAACTTCCTGCCTCCACTTTCTTACTTCCTGTTTACTTTTTAATCACTCCTGTTTCTGTCTGCTCCACACCACTGAAATGGCAATCCTGAGAATAAAGTATCTTAATCACTAAGTTCCCTGACCTCTATTGAATCGCTTTCAAACAAAATCTGTGCTTTTATGACCTTGTTGAACACTCAGTCATTATTAAAATTCTACTGGAGTGGCTCCTAAGATACTATTTTTTCCTAGTTCTCAAACATTTGATTTTCTTTTGTTTTTGTTTACTGATCTTATTTCTTTGGTCCTTAAAGAAAAATAGCATTTGGCCTTGAATTTTTCCTTCCAGTTCATGCACTGTCCCTGGATCATATCCTTGGCATGTTATTCTTAATTCTCAGGGTCTATAGGTCTATACAAATTTATGCAGACCCTTCTCATAGGAGTGAGAAATTGTATAAAAATCCCTACTGTCCCTGTTCTTCAAAAAATTTAAGCAGGTGTTTAAAATATTGTGCAACAGCTGAAAAAGCCCATGTCCTTAAAGTTCGTTAATTTTTTCCCCCCTGGAGGATGGCTACCTATTCTTTAACTCTCTAAGCTTTAATTAATTATAAGAATATAATCTATCTGTTACTAATTGTTGTACCATAGTTCTCTCAGGAAGTAAGAGAAAACCCAAATTATCAGGGCATCTTCTTTTTAAGGACAGAGGTTGCAGATGTAACCAACTTCTGGGAAGTATAACATGTTCCTTTTCTCTCTAGTAACACCCTTACCAGAAAATGCTGCACTCTCCATCCCATGTACACACACTGACTGAATCAGGTACATACTAGGCCACCGGGAAACTCAGATTGCATGCAGTACCCAAAGTACTAATTCATTTGGATTATTAGTGCAAATACTTAGGTGTATCTACTGCTGGGGGGATCAAAATTTATATAAAATGAAAGAGAAGCTTACTGAACAGTAGGTCCTTCTATATGCATAGTTTTTAATATGGGCAATGTAAGTGTTTCAGGATTTGGATGGGCATTTCTGTATACTAACAATCAAATGGAGCTAAGAAAAAGTTGCTTTCATTAGACATGGCATCCACATTCTAATTTGCCTCAGACCCCAGCACTCTCTGATGTCCCCAAAGTTGCCTGAGTGTCAGTTGCCATTTATTATTGTAGTTACTTTTTGTTTTTCTTAGAGTATGGTTTAAAAATATCACGATGAAAAACAGAAAGGATTATATATCAGGATATATTTGGGGGGAGAAAACAACTGAAAATTACTTATTTAATATGTGAACAGAATCCATCTCCACTGAGATTATGGTCGAGGTCTTTTATTTTACATATAGTCAGCTTCAATCATTAATGTTACCACTTCTGGCCCGGATTGGCTTTTGATTTACCATCTACCATCCCTTCTTGGTGTCCTCTTCACCTCTTTATCCTCAGCATCCTGAAAAGGATGCTGAACTGAATGTGTTTTGGTGGCTGCCATATTCCTATTTTATTTCCATGTTTAATTACCAATGATTTACACTTGTTTGTAAAATATTAACAATAAAAACAAACTGATAAAGTGAAATTATATACCTAGCAAAGTCAGTTACAAGGACCCAAAGGGATCATCTGCCTCAGCCTAGTGACTTCGCGCAGGTTTAGTGATGAACAGCAATAGTAACAACAGCAGAATCTCTGTTGTTCTCTTTACAAATTGCTTTCATATGCATTCTATGCAATTACATGAGGTCCAGAAATGCAGATGTTGCATTTTTTCCTCCATCATAAAATAGTACAAAATGAAGACCTCTCAAGGGGAGGACCTACCGGGAGGCTGGGGATGGTGGAGCTGGGCTGCTGATCCCACCTGTAACAGCACTTTCTGCCTGACAGAACGTGAGACTACAGTTCAGAGCCTTGGAGGCCTAATGTCGGGGTGGAAGATGTGGGATGTTGCCTCATGTGGGCAGTAGCCATGTCTACTTTGTTTTCAGTTTTCTCAGAATCAGTACTGTGAAGTCACTGCTTCACTTCGTATTTTTTATTACGTGAGCCTGGAGAGGGAAGGTTTTTGAAAATCTGTAAGTTTTACAGTATCGGAATTTCCAAACTGTAAAACATCTGAAAATGTTCTTGTGTCCAGAAAACAATTGTTCCTTTACCTGTATCAAGACAGACAGATAAAGATAAAGCCCTTGCCATGTGTATAACACCTGTTCGATACTATGGAGGAAAGCAAGAAATGTAAGAGCAAATTAGTTGGAAAGAAGGGTATATCCTATCTTACATTTTATATTCTCAAGTATCTCCATGTGTTCATCAGATGAGAAATCACATAGATTGGGATGGTCACGAAAAGGAAGAATACAAGAGGGCGTAGTGAGAGGGAATTCCCTGATGCAGATTGATTGTGAAGATAAAAGATTGTTCCTGGAATGTTGACTTGGAGCATTTTGTCACACAGAGATGGGCAGAGGTGGCAGTTGGGACCTTGGAACTTCAAAAAAAAAAATTATTTGCCTATGGTAGAAGGATATTTGTCCTAAAAAGTAATTCAGTGATGCATTTGTGGTTCCTTTTTGCAGATGTTATGCTTCTTATTGAAGCAGTGATTGCTGCTAATATCTATTTGAATGCCAGCTATATATGCCTTTTGTGCCCTTTCTAGAAACTACAGTCATCCCTCGATGATGCTGCCGTGTCATGGTCAGCTACTTCAGCCTCAATTAGACATGATCTGTCCAGTAGATTTAGGGGTTATATTTCAATGTGGGATTTGACTTGCTAGAAAATTATTCTAATCAATCTATATTACCACTTTGATAGTAATTCTAACTGCTCTGTTTTTATATAAGGTTGCCATTACCCCCTGGGGCTTTTTCAGGACTCTGGAAGAATCAGGAAGCATTCAAGCATTTATACTTTGAAAAATTTCCTGTAAGAACTTTATTATACTTTCTTTAAACCTTCCAAAGTACTTCTTTGTAGTTCTTGCCTATTAAATTGAGCACTCAGTCCTGGAATCATAGATACAATACAACTTTTAAAGTTTATCTGGACTAAGTTCTAGATCTCAGAAATAAGAATGCCCACACCACAATGATCGAAATAAGTCATTTTTATATTTATTTTTCAGTCTCTGGACATAGACATTTCTGTTTCTCTTAGCACATTTTCCTGAATTTTAGCAGCCCTCAATATCAGGAAAGTTTTTATTAAATTAAAGACTTTTGGGGAGGGCTATCTCTGTTCTTTCCTGCATGGATCCCTCTGCAGACTGAGAGCACCTGATCAGAATTGTACCCTGTCACTGGGACCCCTTAATCTCCTCTACAGCTGGCTATGTGAGCAAAGTTCATTTGGATTGCCCACAGTTGTATTTTTCCATTCCCTTACCTATTTTTGACATTTGTTCCTGAATGTTCTCTTGGCTTTTTATTTTAAATTCCCATTTTAAAATACAGATACATGCTAGACATGATGTTCCTGTAGCACAAACTCCAGTCACCTGGATGACAAAAACTGTTTTTGTCTTGTCATTTACCTGTTTCTCCACATCACCAAGATGTGTTTTGTGTTCATAACAGCACTTTACTGATAATACACATCAGGTCCCACCATCATATTGCTGCTGTCCTTTGACTTCTATTTCTTTCCGGGAGATTCTTGGTTCTCATCATGCAGTAGGTGAAAAAAAAAAAAAAAAAAGATCAGAATTTCATTTAAAAACAAAAACAAGTTTCAGTGTTTAACCTTTTATCTTTATTATTTGTGAGTGAAGGACAGGTAATCTAATCAAGCAGACAAATGACAAGATTTAAAATAGCTTCCTTTAGAAAGAGATCTTGGAGTTAAATGACCTCAGTAGCTGAGATTAAACAGGCCCCGGATGGATGGAGTGTGGCCAGGAAGATTTGTCAGTAGAGTTGACTCCGGGTCAGCCCAATCTATCCGCCCCATGGGCCACCGTTAAATCATCAGAGTACTGATATGATTAATTACACCTGACAATGGCAAATAAGGTGTGCCTGTGGTTTTAACATGATCACCTTTAACAGTGAAAGTTCCTTCAGAGTCTCAGTTTATGGTTAAACTATGTGGAGTGACTCTCTCTATATATTCTTGCCTTGTTACCCTGACTTCAAACTTCTCATCTAAGGGCTTAATCACAGCACAGAAGGGTTGAGTAACTTGCCTGTAGTTTAGAAATGATGGAGCTGAAAATGGAACTCATAATGGCTGGTTCCACGGTCCATGCTCTTTAACTGTACTCTAGGTTTTCTCTCCAGTAGAAATTGCAGTAAGAGCTGCCAATTACTGAGGGCTTATGATGGGCCAGGGTCTGCCCTCTTTAGATACACTATCTCGTTTATGCTTCACAGAAGCCTTATAGGGTATAATCCACTACCCTGTTTAACAGATGAGCACACTGAGTCTCAGAAAGAATAAGAAGCACAAATAGTGACTCATCTGGATTGTTCCTAGAGCCCATGCTTATTAACATAAGTATCAAGATAACTGAAAAGCATTAGAAGTAGTATTTCTTTCAACTTATTCTTCTTGATTCTTCATTTCTATTGTGATTTCTGGACCAGTGAAGATGTGCTGCTACTTTGAGTTGATCAAAAATTAAATTTCACCCCTATTATTATATTTCATGGAAGCTAGAGTCTAATCCAGATTCATGTTAATAAACTAGCGCTCTATTTTGTAATTATTTATAGAGAGCTTTAAAGCTTTCAAAAATTAATATAATTAAAGGAGAAATCTATCGAAGAATTACTTTGCAATAGCAAAGTATATTGGAAATATTGAACTATTACTTCTCCATTAAAAAAAAATTGAGTTCATAAACTTCACAGCTCTCAAACATTTAACTTGAATATATATAAGAATGCTTAAATTTAGTCCTGGCTATTAGTGGAGCAAAGAGATTCTAGTAAGTTATCAAAATCAAAAGGAGTTTAATTCCATAGCCTAGTAATGAAAAAAGTCAAATGTATGCAGTAAATCCATTTCTATCAGATTTTATATTATACCAAACTTAAATGATTGCATTACCTAGCAATCAATACATGCTAATTAGACATTATCGGTTCTTATTTTCAGGGATACTATGACACCATGGATGCTGGTTACATGGATGAAGAAGGCTATTTATATGTTATGTCTCGAGTTGATGACGTGATAAATGTTGCAGGTCACAGGATTTCTGCAGGTGCTATCGAAGAGGTATTGATGAATATGGATTTTCTGTTCCCAGTAGTATTTAGAGACAGAGCTGAACTGAAGTCAATTATTGAGGTTAAGTCAGTGTACCTGGAAAATTACCATACCCTTCATTTGATGTAGAGGCTAGGTTACTCTCATATCTCTCTCACCTCACTTCCTCTTGTGTAAATCCTCCTATTCTCCTCACTCCCTGATCTGTGTCTGGGTGGTAGGGAGGAATTTTAAGAAGCTACACATATGTGTTATTTATAGGAGAGCTTATATACTTTTGTTTTTTGATCCTTGCTACTTGGTTGCCTCTAGCTTCTTGATTTTCTCTTGCTTAATAACCTGGTTTGCATATCGTCTTTAACTGGTGTGAGATTTAAACATTTTATTGTACTCTTAAATCCTGAGAATTTTCTTCCAATGTAAATACATTGTCACAAAGTCCCCAGAAGAGGTTTCTTTGATAATGTTTTTAATTTGTATACTTACATAGAGTAAAACCCATTTTATTGTACAGAACTATGAGTTTTTATACTTGTATAGATTCTTGGTACCATCACCACAGATAGGACACAGAAAAATGTCAACACTGCCAAAGATTTCTCCCATAACATTGACCTTTGTATTCTGACCCTCCCCATCCCTGGTGACTTCTGATTTTTCTGTTTCTGCTTTTGCTTTTCTAGAATGTCATATAAATGGACTGATACAGTTATGTAACATTTTGAGACTGGGTTATTTCATTTAGGAAAATACATTCGAGATCCATCCAAGTTTTTGTGTGTATCATAATTTGTCCGTTTATATTGCTATGTAGTATTCCACTTGTGGATGTACTAACCAGTTTCTGTATCCATTCACTCACTGAAGGATATTTGGATTGTTTCTAGTTTGAAACAACTTTAAATAATTCTGTTATATACATTCATGTACAGGTTTTGGGGCAAAATTTGTTTTTATTTTTCCAGGATAAATATCTATAGTGAGTTGGCTGGGTTATATGGTAAGTGTATGTTTAAGTTTATAAGAAACTGTCAAACTGTTTTCTCGGTGGCTGCACAATTTTACATTCTCACCAGCAGTGTTTGAGGGTTTCTGTTTCTTCCCATCTTCATCCACACTTGGTGTTATCATTATTCTTTATTTAAACCATGCTATTAGATGTGTAATGGTATTGCATTACTTTTAATTTACTTTTCCATAATGACTTAATGATGTTGAGCATCTTTTGACATGCTTATGTCTCATCCACGTATCTTCTTTTGTAAAATACCTGTTGAAATATTCTGCCCATTCTTTGAAAATTGGGTTGTTTTCTTATTCTTCAGTTTTGAGAGTCCTTTATCTGATACATGATTTGCAAATATTGTCTTCCAGTCTGTGACTAGTCTTTTTACTCTCTTAAAAGTGTCCTTAACAGAGCAGAAGTATTTTTCATAATGATGAAATCAAATTCACTAATTTTTTTCTTTGACAGATCATAATTTGGGCGTTATATCTTAGAACTCTTTCCTAACCCAAGGTCATAAATATTTCTCCTTTGTTTTGACCTAAGAATTTTATAGTTTCATGCTTTACATTTGCTTTATTGTTTTACATTTTATATCAGTTTATATTTATATTTTGAGTTCTCATGTGTGTGTATGGTGCAAGATGTAAGTTGAGGATTATTATTATTTTTTAATATAGATGTCGATGGTTCCAAGAATCAATTATTGCAAAGACTGCATTTCTCCTTTGCATTTCCTTTGCACCTTTGTCCAAATCAGCTGACAGTATCTGAGTGGATCTATTTCTAGAGTATCTCTTCTGTTTCATTATTCTACATGTTTATCTTTTTACCAATACTATTCTGTCTTGATACTATAGCTTCATGGAATGCCTTAAAGTTGAATAGTATCCACATTTGCTCTTCTTTTTCAGAATTGTTTTGGATGTTCTAGTTTCTTAACTTTTCCATATATATTTCAAATGAACCTTTTGTAGTTACAATGGATTTTTATTGGGACTGATTAAATCTATAGATTCTTTTGGGAAAAATTGATATCTGATCCATACTGAATCTTCTAATCCAATAATTTTATATGTACCTCCATTTCTTTAGGTCTTTTTTGATATGTTTCATCAACATTTTACACTTTTTAGTATACAGATTTGTACTTAAGTATTTAATTTTTAAACTATTGTAAATACAATCTTAAGTTTTAGTTTCTAAATATTCATTGCTAGTGGATAGAAATACTATTGACTTCCTTGAACTGGTAATGCATTTTTTTATAGATTCTTGAGATTTCCTATATAGAAAATCATGTTGTCTGTGAATAGAGATAGTTTCATTGCTTTCTTTTCAGTCTAAATGCCTTTTATTCCTTTTTCTTGCCTTCTTGAACTGGCTTAAACTTGCAGTATGATATGGAATAACAGTGGTGAGAACCGACACCCTTGTCTTGTTTCTGATCTTAGGGTAAAAACATTCAGTACCTTACCATTAAGAATGTTGTTTCCTGTAGGTGTTTCTGTAGATAAACTTTATCAAGTTAAGATGTTCAATCTGTTCCTAATTTGATGAGATATTTTAAAAAATCTTGAATGAATGCTGAATTTTGCCAAATGCTTTTTATACTTTTATTGATATGATCATGTGTTTTTTTAAGCCTTTTAATACATGAATTGCATTAATTAATTTTCAAATGTTCAGCCTTGCATCACTGGGATAAACTTTACTTGGTTACAATGTATTGATTTTTTTTTAAAGATTTTATTTATTTATTTGACAGAAAGACACACAGCGAGAGAGGGAACACAAGCAGCGGGAGTGAGAGAAGGGAGAAGCAGGCTTCCCGCAGAGCAGGGAGCCCGATGCGGAACTCGATCCCAGGACCCCGGGATCATGACCTGAGCTGAAGGCAGACGCTTAACAACTGAGCCACCCAGGCGCCCCTGGGTGATTTTTTTAAAACATCTATAGTAATTTTCTTTGTTCTGAAGTTAGTTATGTGTGGTAATCACATAGCCATTCCATTTTTTTTTTTTTTGAATAGCATTTGAATCATTTATTTTTTGCCATCCTTTCATTTGGATCATTATGGATCCATACAGATCCATCATCTAGATTATTATGCTTCCTATGGACTTCTTGTAGATAGCATACAGTTGGGTCTTATTTTTATTTTTATCCAATCTGACAATCTTTATCTTTTAACTGATGTTTTTAGATCATTTACATTTAAACAAATTATTTATATATTTATGCTTATCAGTTTATTAGTTTTCTTTTTGCCTGTTCTTCATTCCACTCCTATACCCCATCTCCTATCTTTTAAGTCATTTCATTCTTTTTTTGTAGCTTCTGTTTCTTTACTGAAAACTTCTGTGTTTCCTTTTATTCCAAGAATGTTTGCCCATTCTTCTTGCGCCATGGCTATTGTTGAGTTTTTAAGACTCATCTTTTGTTAATTTTATACTGAATGTGCAAATGAGGTGTTATGGGTCAAAGACAGATTTCTTGATAATTAGTGTGTCATTGCCCTCTTAGGTTCTAGCCTTCGGTCGCACATAAGTGCCAGACACTTCATAGATGAGAGATGAGGAAGATAATTTTTGTCGGCTTATGAAGAGCAAGGAGACATTCATCTTCCACCCCTCATCAGAAGGTCTCCTTCCAAACATAAGGGCCTTATTCCAAATTCCAACTCTTTGATATGTAAATAAAATCTCTCCAGGAGCCAGATAGCCCTGTGTGTCTCAACTCTTAAAATTTAGAAATGTTTCCAAGTTCTGAGGCTTCATCTTTTTTTTGACATGTAAATACCTAGGAAGCTACTGAGCCAGTCTCCCCAGCACACTGTGAGTTTAACCTAGGGATCTAGTCTAGTCCAGACTTTAATAATTTTGCCTTCCCAGGGAAATTAGAAAAGTTTTATTATCCTTTCAGATCAGAGCCATTAACCTGGCAAACAGCAATAGATCAAATTCTCATGGTATTTGAAAATTCTCAGGAGGCTAGAGGTTTTTATAGGAGCAATGAGGAATCCAGGAAAGTTTTATCCTTCTGCCACCATTATAATAGCTGCATTAAAATTTTTGTCTGATCATTCTAATATTTGGGTCATCTTCGCATTGGCATCTATTGATTGATGGTCTTTTTTCTTAAGAGATGTTTAGGTTTTCCTGATTCCTTTTATGTCCAGTAACTTTAGATTTTTATCCTAGATATTTTGAGTATTACATTATGAGATTCTGGATCCTGTTTAAATCATCTGGATTTGTGTTCTTGTGATTACTTATTTTAGTTAAGAACAGACCACCTGTCCTTACTCACTTTTTGTGAACTGTGGTTCCAATGTCAATTTGATTTTCAGTCTTTGCAGTGCTATTTTGGTCCATCTCACTTGTGTCTCTCCTAGAGGCCAATCTGAAACTTGAGTTAAGTGTTCAGAATCTACACTGTGCTGAATCTGGTTGGATTCATGCATGCACGAATCTGGGGTAGGCTCATACACAGATTTAAAATATCCCTTTCTCTCCAGCTCCTTCCTCTCCATAATCTACTCTTCACTTTCTGATTTCCAAGGATCCCCATTGCTGTTCTTTTGGGTAAAAAGTTGGGGCTTTGTGTTCCCTGTCTTCTTATCAGGGGTCAATACTGCATGTTGTACGTGCACAGCATCCCTGGGCAGAGGATGAGACTGTCTCTTTGGTAGCACTTGCTTAGTGTAGAGCAGAGCAAATTAGGGATCTACTCAGGGACTGGATAGCTGCTCTTGGGGGGGAGGGGGCAGCAGCGCAAATGGCTCTGAATCTTTCTAGGCTCCCTTAGGGTGTGTGCATGTGTTTGGGGCGGGGGGTCCCTCAGGGTTTCATCCCACAGGCTGTACACCAGTAGTGGAGAAGGGGAAGGACCCTTGCTGGCATTCACTTGGAGCAGGGTGCTGAGAGTCAATATGGTTGCTACAGCTCTGTAGGAAGGAAGAAGGGCACTGCTTCTTTGTTGGTGTTCACCTGGAGCAGGGAGGTAAAATGAAAAGGATTATTTCCCAGATCCTCTGTCCTTTCCCTGGGCCTCTATAAAGGCAGACATTTCTTAGGGCTTTTCTGTCTGCACTTATTGGCAGTTGCACCTTTTGGTCTACTCTAGCACCCAGGCCAGAGTTTATAGGAGGCAAAACAAAGAAAGAAACAAACCATAATGACAGCAAAACCCAAAACCTCCAAAGAAACAAACAAAAAAGAGGGTTGTGTCTCGAGTTCTTATAATTTTAATAGAGTCATCGATCTGGTTTTTTAGCCAGAGTTTTTCATTGCAATTAGTAAAAGTGATAAGATGGAACATATTTATTCCATCTTTTCCAGAACCAAACCCAGAATAACTTTTAAATGGAATAGAGCAAACTGAAGTTTAAATGAAAGACAATGTTTAAAAATAATTCAGTGGAATCAGAGTGTGCAGAATCAAAGTTTAGTTCTCCTTCCTATAATTTGAAGATGGTCACCTTCTTTGAAAGTCATACTTAACCTTCAGCGAAAACAAAATAGCTTAACGCTTCTTGTCATGTCAGCTTTGTGTGTGTGACAATGTAATAGTATTTGAGTAAAAGGAAAGAACTTCTTTATATAATATTTTAGAATAAGTGGCTTTGTGTGCTATCATAATATTATCTTATTTTTAACCTACTGTGAATTTTGTGATAACCTGAAATTGAAATTTACACTTCATGTATTTTGGTGTGTTGGCAAAAGGTGGTTCTGGTTGCATGAACTTTTAATTTCTTGCCTGTAGGAGATTACTTCTAATATTCACCTGCATTTCTGGCAGAGACAGCTAATCAAAATATGGAGATTACATATGCAAGGCTTTTATAATCAGTCAAAGTTCTTGGTTCTCTCTTTTATTTTTAGAACAAAAAGACAAGTGTCAACCTATTTAAATATATGCTTTAATATGTTTCTACTGACATCCTTTTCACTGTATGTAATCAGAGAATGAGGCAGGCAGAAGGTAGGCAGTAAAATGACAAAATTGAAAAAAAAAAAAAGCATGCTAGAATCAATAGTTTCCAACAGGAATTTTGTCACTAGGTCTTGGAGTACTTACAGCACGTAATAGGACACCTGTCAGCCTTAAAGCCTTCTTGAAGTGAACGTCTCCCTTTATATGAATTAAATGATTAACTCTATCATATATTTATGTCTAATAAGGAAGTTAATACCTCAATTCATATCAGGTTTGTCTTCTTTATGTTGGCATTTGTTAGAGAGTTTTGAACTAACATTCTTTACTGGATTTTTCTCACCTCCTAGCAAAATTGCTTAACATTGATAATTAATGTGTATGTTTTTACATACATATTTTTATTGGTTTTATTGATGACATAACCAACATTTATTAAAGGGCCAAACCTTACTTTATTTGTAAATGCTTTCCAGGACTCTCACCAGGATTCTCAATTGTCAATTCTGAATGTTGGATTCCACTTTGAGTTTTTGAAGTAGGATTTGAGGGTCTTAATTCACGGGACTCTCATTTGTAATAACTAAAAATAGACTGAATGTTGTTTTTATATAGTGTGAAAATCTGTGTCTTTCCAGTTTCTTAAAGTAAAATATGACAAGTGCATTACCTTACATAAGACTAAATCAAACAAATTCTATTAAAATTACTACATTAAACACATTTCAGGAAACTGTATGTTCTTTTCTGTTCTCATCATAAGAAAACAGTTCTAGAATAGCTTTTATAAATTTAAGAGCATCTTATCCTTGCAGATCTCAACACATGTAAGGGCCTTCTGTAACTATTAAGTAATAATCATATCTATTTGAAAAGTTGATTAATGTTTGAGAGCCTGGCATCTAGCCAGACACTTGGGATACTTCAGTGGAAGTTCAAAGTGTCCTTAAAAAAACTGGGTCTGAAATCTGCTAATTCAGGCCTTATGAGCCCAAATTACTAGGAGCTAATGTGGTCCTTCTTACTTGGTTCTCTTTCACTGTTGTGGTCAGGCTTTCATGCAAAGACACCTCCAGGGAACAAATTAGTATCCCTGGTTTCATTCTTTCACTTGTAGTTTAAGTTTCATTTTGCTAAATAATCCAACTAGTATCCTTGGGAACTGTTAAAATACGGCACTTAAATCCTAGAGCAGTGTTCATTGTTTGCCCTTTGGCAGGTTATTCGAACCAAAGTTTCACTGTTTGTTTTCCAGGTTAGCTATTTTGTTTGCTATTTTTAGGAGTGATTTCTTCAGGATTGAATATATTTCCATAAAGTGTGTATTCAGCAAAGATGCCATGTAATTTCACTTCTACCCAGCATTAAATGACTACTGGTTTTAAATAGTTGTAAAATTGCTGAATATTTTCCTGAGTACAAATATGAATATGATGATAATGTGGAATCTAACAGTTTCCTAGATGACTCCAATATCAGAGGGAATGAAGAAGCATTCTTCTTCCCACTGCAGAGGCAATCTCCTACCAAAGACTGGATCCTGCATCTTATGAAGGTGCTTGATTTAAACTAATACTTCTAAAATTAAAATACTTAAAAACATAATTGAAAAATCTGTGTAATTCAACCCACTAAAGTCATAGAATCTTTCAAATCCATTAAAATATACACAAAAATGAGAGTACCCCCTTCAAGCTCTATTACAAAGCTGTAATCATCAAGACAGTGTGGTACTGGCACAAAAACAGACACATAGATCAATGGAACAGAACAGAGAACCCAGAAATTGACCTTCAACCCTACGATCAACTAATCTTCGACAAAGCAAGAAAGAATATCCAGTGGAAAAAAGACAGTCTCTTCAACAAATGGTGTTGGGAAAATTGGATAGCCACATGCAGAAGAATGAAACTGGACCATTTTTTATACCATATACAAAAATAGACTCAAAATGGATGAAAGACCTAAATGTGAGACAGGAATCCATCAAAATCCTAGAGGAGAACCCAGGCAGTAACCTCTGTGACCTTGGTCGCAGAAACTTTTTGCTAGACACGTCTCCAAAGGGAAGGGAAACAAAGGCAAAAATGAACACTGGGACTTCATCAAGATAAAAAACTTCTACACAGCAAATAAAACAGTTGACAGACCCAAAAGACAACCAACAGAATGGGAGAACATATTTGCAAATGTCTATTCAGATAAAAGGCTAGTATCCAAAATCTATAAAGAACTTATCAAACTAAATACCAAAGAACTAAAAATCCAATCAAGAAATGGGCAGAAGACATGAACAGACATTTCTCCAAAGAAGACAAATGGCCAACAGACACTTGAAAGAGTGTTCAACATCACTCGGCATCAGGGAAATACAAATCAAAACCACAGTGAGATACTACCTCACACCAGTCAGAATGACTAAAATTAACAAGTCAGGAAATAACTAATGTCGGCTGGGATGCAGAGAAAGGGGAACCCTCCTACACTGTTGGTGGTAATGCAAGCTGGTTGTAGCCACTCTGGAATATAGTATGGGGGAGTCCTCAAAAAGTTGAAAATAGAGCTACCCTATGACCTAGCAATTGCACTACTAGATATCTACCCCAAGGATACAAATGTAGTGATCTGAAGGGGCACCTACACCCCAATGTTTATAGCATCAATGTCAACAATAGACGAATTATGGAAAGAGCCCAGATGTCCATCAACAGATGAATGGATAAAGATGTGGTGTGTATATATATATATATATATATATATATATATATATATATATGCACACACACAGTGGAATACTACTCAACCATCAGAAAAATGAAATCTTGCCATTTGCAACGATGTGGATGGAACTAGAGGATAAACAAAATAAGTCAGTCAGAGAAAAACAATTATCATATGATCTCTCTCATATGTGGAATTTAAGAAACAAAAGCATAGGATCATAGGAGAAGGGAGGGAAAAATAAAACAAGGTGAAATCAGAGAGGGAGGCAAACCATAATCATAAACTCTTAATCATAGGAAACAAAGTAAGGGTTGCTGGAGTGGAGGGGGCTTGGGCGATGGGGTAACTGGGTGATGGACATTAAGGAGGGAAGGGGTTTAGTGAACACTGGATGTTATAGAAGACTGTTGAATCACTGAACTCTACCTCTGAAACTAATAATACACTATATGTTAATTAATTGAATTTAAATTAAAAAAAAATTTAAAAGACAGTGGAAAATGCTATCAAATTTGAGTGGGAAAGGATTTTAAATAGTAACTCTACATATAGTTAATCTATCAATCAAATTTGACAAAATAAATACATTTTCAAGATATAAGGACAAAGAAGATTTACAGATCATCCCTATCCACTATGAATAAATGATGCTTGGAATATTACAAAATAAGAAAAAAATGCGAGAGAAATAATACCATAAGACAAGAAGCATCTCAGTATCACAAGAAAGGATTGTGTACTGCATACTGCTAGCCTGGGAAAAGACCAAAATTCAAGATTTGATGTATAGTTTCTCCTGAACACATATCGCTTTCACACCATCCTAAAGGCAAAAAGTCGTAAGTTGGAACCATTGCACACTTTTGGTGAGACAGTTATCTCTCAAGTTGTATCATTTTTTCAGTTCTTAACTGTCAGTTAATCACGGATGCTTTATGGATTGTACCTGGAGGACATATACGAAAGTGGCTTTTGATATTTTTACCCCCATAGGACATTTGTTTGGCTTCTGTCCCTTAAATGTTGCCAAGACATACTTTGATGCTTTCCTTTTTAATGACTCAGTTGTTGAAATCATAATTTGGCATGTAAATATTACTTGTGGAGCCAACATAGAAAGCTGTATCCCTCCCTTTATGGCATCATTTTAATGCTGATTAATATTTTATCCACTATAATAATGAACTTCATTTACAGATGACATAAAATTCTGGTAAATGATTATGTTGTTCACAGATTTTTAAGAGTTTGTCCACAAACTAGACAAAAAATCTGAAACTTTGATATTGTAGAGAACTGTGTTATATATTACTTTTGAGTTTAAAATACTCAGCCCATATGGAAAAGCAGTCAGCGTTTTCCCAACCACTTCTAAACATACTAACACTGAGGATGGAAACATGGCGAAATTAAAACAATAAGGTGAAAGAAGGGCAAACTACAAGATTTGCTGTTTGATTTAGTTAAAATTATACCAGTTAGGTGACAAAATACCTGGATGATCGATTTTTTTTAATAGTAATTTAAACAGATACATTGGCATTTTTTTTTAAAGATTTATTTATTTATTTGAGACAGAGAGAATGAGAGAGAGAGAATACATGAGAGGGGGGAGGGTTAGAGGGAGAAGCAGGCTCCTCGCCAAGCAGGGACCCCGATGCGGGACTCAATCCAGGGACTTCAGGATCATGACCTGAGCTGAAGGCAGTCGCTCAACCAACTGAGCCACCCAGGCCCCCAGATACATTGGCATTTTAAAAACTAGGAGAGGCTTATGGCACCAGTGAAAACTTTAATAATTTTTTTTTTTTTTGACAATCAAAACTCTGGTTAGGCAGGTAAAATTTTTTCTGTACTCCTTAAGGGAATCCTAAATCGGAATCAGAGCAATGGGCCTACCAAGTTTATATCCTATCTGCTATAGACAAAATATTCTCTTCCAAAGACTGTGACTGACTCTACTAACTACCAGTACAAATCTCTGGCAATAAATATTTGTCTCTAAGCATATGGACCTAAACTGTAAATAAAATCTTAATAAATGGGAAAGCTGTTGAAAGCACTTTGAGAGTTCAGATTGAAGCCCTGGGAGAAGATGGTGGTGTATGGCCTGTATCGTTGGTGTTTTGCAGAAGCTTTTTAGTGAGGCCCAATTAATGGAGGATGAGGTGCATATCTCTGTCTCAGCAATGAAGTTAATAAAATGTACAGCACAAAAGTCATTTAACACATACTATCCTCAGCAGTATAAGAGTCAAAAACTATGTGGATGGCAACTCTTACACCTCAGTCCTTCAACGTGGATGGTAACAAGAGGATCGAGGAGGTGTTGATTTCTGTTTCACTAGGGGCTGTGTCAGGTGGTGCACAGGCTACTAGTTCACCGAGTCTTCCAGGACCTCAGAGAAGAGACAGCTCATTTTCAACTTGGCATAATTAAAAGAAAGAAGAATTCACGGAAACTTTGGGACTTGAAAGTGGCGTGTCCTAGATTCTGTGGGTTTTTCTCCTATCTCTCCGGTTGTGCCTTTTTAGTCTAGTTTGGCAGTTCCTCCTTTTTCATGTAGCCGTTAGATGGTGGCGTTCCTTAAAGCTCTCACTCTTCTCTCTGCTTTCTCCCTAACTGATCTAATCAATGTCTATAGCTTTCATTACCATCTCTGCATTTAGTGACATTCAAATGTGCATCTCCAGATTAAGACTCCCATCAGATTCAACTCCTCCACTCAGATATCTCCAAGGTGCTTCTGTGGAACATCTCTAAGATTTGATACATGATCATTCCTTCCAAGCCTAACCTTCACTAGTATTTTCTGGCTTAGAAAATGGCACCACTATCCAATCAGCTGTTCAAGCCAAAAAGCACAGAATCATCCTTAGCTTCTCTACCTTCTTCTTGCCCCATATCCAATTTATCATAAAATTGTGTTCATTTTACCTCTAAAGAAACTCTAGAATCTTCATACCCACTGTCATAGCCTTGGTCTACTATGGTAGCCTCATGGGCGATTTCAACAAACTGTAATACTCACCCTTAACAATCCTCTATTTGTTCTCTACAACGAACCCAAAGTAAATTTGTTTTTCAAAATACACTCTGAAGTAAAAGAAGCCAATGAAAAGACTACATACTATATGATTCCAGCATTCTGAAAAAGGACTTTGGAGACTCTGAGAAGATCAATGTTTGCCAACGGCTAGCAGGAAGTAAGAATAAATAAGCAGAGCACAGGAGATTTTTTAGGGCAGGGAAACTATTCTGTGAAATGCAATATAATGGTGGACACACATCATAAAACCCACAGAATGTATAACACCAAGCGTGAACTCTAACGTCAACTATGGCCTAAGGTGAGAATGATGTGTTGATGTTGGTTCATCAATTCTAACAAATATGCCACTCTGGTGAGGGATTTTGAGAGTGGGGGAGGCTGCGCATATATGGAAGCAGGACATATATGACAAATCTCTGTGCTTTCCACTCAATTTCGCTGTGAATCTAAAACTACTCTAAAAAATAAAGTCTATTAAAAAAAAATCTTGTCTCTCCTCAACTCCCGAAAATGCTTTATTGCCTTTCCAGTGTTACTAAAATAAATTGGAAGTCCTTAGCACAGCCCCTCTCTACCTCTACACCTTCATCTCTTCTTGCTCCTTTCTCA